TTCAATGAAAATTTTAAATAAAATTGTAATAAATATATTATAAGGTAAATTATTGTTTATATAAAAATAAATAATGAAAAATAAAAACTTATTATACGGAGTAATTATTATATTATAAATGTAAATAAATTAATTTTTATTTTTTAAAATTTTAAATAAAAAATGTATTAATATAAAAAATTATTTATATATTTTATGAAAATTTCATATCTATTTTTTTTCCCAAATCTATTGCATTATGTTTACGAGTTTTAAAATTTGAAATTGAAAATTTGGATTGGTTAAATGATATTTTAAATTTAAATTTATTTATGTGAATGTGATAGTTTGTTAAAATTGAAAATTTCATGTCAATTTTTTTTTAATTAAACTCGATAGAAAAGTTCAATGACCTGAGGTTTTAGGATTAGAATAATTTTTTTTTTTTTTTTAACTTGATAAAAATTAAGCTCAATTAACCTGAAATTGACAAAATTGACAACTCGTCAAGCAAGTTGACCCGATTGACATCTCTAATTTCAAGTATTATCCTTTTTAGTCCGTATAGACAGCTCAGTTGGTCACAAGAGTGGCATTTGAAAACAATTACCCGTGATCGACTCTCACCAGCGAATGTAACTGACACTTGTCTTTATTATTATTATTTTTTTTGAATGTGAGATATATAGTTTCTCCTTTTTGCAGCAGCATGGAAGGCTATAGAAAGCAGAGAAAGTAAATGGCAATTAATTAATTGAAGTATGAACACCCATCCCACTAGGGTTGTTAAAAGATGGAAATATATATCATACCCTCCATCCATCCATCCCCCTAATTATCATCTTCTTTAGGTAGGTGTGGAATTTCACTTAACGTCTCACCTATCATCCACCACAATTCATTAAGCTCAACAATTACTATAATCTTCGGAAGATTATTGTATATATATGAACCTATGTGGCCACAAAGCTTTTATTATTCTCTCAATGAAGATTTAATTTTTATTATTATATTTATATGTCAAATAAATAAATAGTTTTGATTCTTGCCAATATGTCTCGTGGTTGAATCCATTGTACAATGTTATTTTAATGCGATTTAATTATCCTTCTTAATTAAATAATTTACAAGCTATTATTATATAATTAATAAGAGTAGGGATTGTGATTTTCACCATTATCCAAAACTATATAAATAACTATGCTAAATGTGGTGAGTGCACAATATGGTTTAGCAACCAAAAAAGAAGTGTTGGGCTAAAAGGATTGCTTCATTATTGATTGGTACTCACCCCCACCCCCTCTTTTTCTTTTATCAAATTTAATTAAACTCTTACCCCTTACAACCAAAACAAAGCTTTTTGTAGATTTGAATATTTGTATCAAAGGGTTCAAAGCTTCCAATAGTGGAAATTAGTTCTCAATTTGGTTTCACGAGGACTTTACATCCAATCACTATATCTAGAAATAAATTTAAATGCTATATAGGCAGCTTAGTTGGTCACATAGGTGAAGATCGGGAACAATGATCTGAGATTGAGACTCATCAGCGACAGATGCTCTATCGAGAAGGGACGTGGGGATCCTTGTAATTGGGAATTCAACATTTTGGAAACAATAGAAATAAATTTAAAAGTTGGGAGGAGAAGAAATAAATATAAAATAATGTAAATAAATGCGTATTTATCTTTTATAATTTAAACTTTTGATTCATCTTCCAAAAGGCTGAATCCCAACCATTAGGGCCCTTAAACTTTTGATTCATTAGAATACAACAAGTAATATCTTTTCTGCACCCCCACCCAAAAAAAAAAAAAAAAAAAAACACACACACACACACATTCACGCACAAGTGCACAACCCACCCTATTGAAGACATTGTTATGATTTAAGGAAAAAATGGTACTTTCCTTCCTTAAAATCACACACTAATTTTTACATAGGAATATACACAAGATAATGTTAAATGCCTATAAAGTTATCAACATATATATTTTATATGATTACATGGGTTTATTTGATTAATCCATGACATGATTAGTTGATTTATGAGTAATCAATAAATATAAGGTTGTGAAGCAGTAACATGTGTAAACTTGTACACAAAGTTCTGCGTGAAAATAATATTTTACAATTAGTAAAGTTAATTACAATCTCTCTTTCAATCTCAACAGTACAACATGTCTACAACCTCGTGATTTGCTCTAATACTAGAATTGTGAATGTATAACTTTATTTCTATATGTTTACGTAACAGTCAATGTCATGTTTCAATGCTAAGATGTTGGATTAGGTTCTCCAAAATTCTGCCCCGGAGACAATCAAATTAAAATTACCCTTGGTAAAAATGGATCCTATTTGCTTCTAAGTTGTGATAAGTGAGAGCTAGCATAATAAGTTAATTGAGTGGTGGAGATAAATAAAGAGGTGGATGATAAAATCCTGAAATTTTTTGGTTAATTAGATAGTGACCATAAGAAGAATGATGCATGAATACCTTCAGGCTCAGTATCCATCAAACCTCAATTATTTTTACTTTATAAAGAGTAGGTATGTCTATCCTTCCCATATAGTTATCATTAGGCAGTAGTACGAGGTCTAATTTTTGAGGAAAATTTGGTGAATGGGAATATATAGTCTCGCCATTTCCAAGCACTTAGTGCCAAGCCATATGCACCCTCAACTTTGAGATCAATGCTGCAAGCTGGCCCCCACTTCCTTGATTTGAATGTGGACCCCTCAATCTAACACATCTAACAAAGACTCATTACACGACAGAGCGTTTAGGAGGATGTAAATCACGGTAACTTAATAGCTCATCAGCAGACAGAGCTAAATGTCGGTGCGCACAAGGGCCTATTCACTTTGAGCATAATCCCTACACTGCCGCAATCGAGGTTTAAAGCTTGATATCTTCTTCAAAATACTGCCTACTGAACTAGTGAGCTAAGCCCATGCAGACAGTATACAATTTATCTGTTATAATTATTTGATGAGTTATACTTTTGAATTTAGTCATTCAACTATCACTCATTTCTCATTTTAATTATTGACTTTTAAAATTATCAAATTTAGTCACTGATGAGTATTGAATTATTTCTAATTGTAATCAACGATACAGTTTTTCATGTATGAATGGTTAACATTGAGGGTGGAATTACGATTGCTAGAATATAAAAAACATGACTTTGTTTTTCGTTGCTGAGAAACAATTGGCGTAATGATCATGATTTTTTAATTTTACCTTCAGTATTAGCGATTCACACAATGAAAAGCTAACAATGAATTACAATTCGAAAAGATTCAATACTTAATGGCTAAATTTAGTAACTTAAAAGTTAATGACTAAAATTGAAAATTAAATAAATGATAATCAGATGACTAAATCTAGAATTAACTCTTATCTTATTTTCAAAATAATTAATAAATTGCACTAGCTATATCTTATAACAATCAAACGGGGAATCAAGCACTTCATTACTACTATGTCAAAAGTCATATTGAGTAACATAATATAAACGGAACTTTATTTTCCTACAAGCTAGTGTCACGTTTTGATAAGAATTTTGGACTCGTCTACCAAGTCAATGCCTAACAATACGTGCTATAATACTTTAATTTAATAATGGAAGACTAACAACCTTATAATTAAGGATTAACATATAAATCCCAATAAAATTGCATCCCACATTTCTTTAATAATTTCTGAATTTGCATCCCATCTTCCATGTCTTTCCATGTCCCTTTAGGTAAATGTACTATAAGGTACATCTCACTATCATTGAGTCTTGCAAACATCGACATGCATTTGTTCATTTGAAATAATTTTAAGAATAACATGCTCAAACAGTCGAGCTAAGGCGGCTAAGAGTTCATGTAAGTTTTTACTCAATGTTGTGTTGTTGGGCGTTGGCTTGGAAGACCGAGTCCAGTATCTTGCTATGAAAATGCGGTCACTGTTACATAAGTATATGGAAATAAAGTTGTGCACTTATACGTTGTTAACTCTATAGCTTTTGATGGGGTGATACGCTATTGATCCTAACAATTGCTATCATTACATGTCACGAATATGCTGTACAGTTGAGGCTGGCTGAGGGTTGTTAGGCGACAGCTCGAAAGGTACTAAATAACATAAATAATAGTTGTGCCTAATATAAAAATATATCAGTATGCAGAACTCTTTTGGATGGGGCAGCTGACTTGGAGATTTAAGAGTGCTCCATATCTAAAGTCAAAGATCAAACCCTTGACCTTTGGTTAAGGTAGATGAGTCACTTCCACTCAACCACACACTAGGTTACAAATACGATACTATACATGCATGTTACATAAAGTTAGGAAAACTTAGATGAATATTGTTTGATACATACACATAATACAGTACCCAATAATTTATTCTAGATTCGATGTTTCATGTTAGGTTTAAACAACAATTTCTCAACGAGTTGTATCCACAAAAGCCCTATTGCCACTCGTGGTACCTGCTTTAAAGTTCAAACCCAATTTTATATCATGGGATATGCTATTTTTTCAAAGTATTTTTTTTTTTAATAACAAATTTTGTTCTTTATTATTATTTATTAGAAATTAGATATGATTTTGAGTAATGATGGAAACCCTCGGCCATATTATCCTTAGAATATGCACTGAATAAGTACTGTCTTGCAATCTGAACTTGTTCATACTTGTAATATTGTTATTACTAAGTCGATAGTCTTGACTAATTTAACTGGGTTGTCTCATATCTGAAATGATTTGTGACAAATTATTAGCGTTTGTATTCATTCCATCTCTATGAATTAGTCAACCCTAATACAAATTAAATAAATAAAGTCTCATACGATAATATATAAAATTTGATATAATAATTAAAAAAAAAATAGCAGTACCTAAACATTTATGGGAACCAACCAAGACCCTTGTAGTGCAATCTCTTTCAGGTCCCATAACCTGTCACATCATATATATTTATTTATTTTCACACACTATATATTATATGTATATATACAAAAAAGCATCCACAATGCAAGAATCCTATAATTAATTTCCATGGCAGAGTTCAATATTGGAGATTTCCTCAACTTGAACACCCCTCTCCCAGACAACCTTAATTACTCCAACGATCAACATGGGATCATGAGATTCTCAAATGATGGATTTGATCATCAAGAAAATCACCAGAGTGCTCTTCAGCTCACCATGATGACTTTCAACAATGAAATCCAAATCCCTAGTTATGATGATCACCACCACCATCATCATCATCATCCTGCACCTGATGATTCATCTCCTCAGTTCTTCTCCATGGAAGCTGGAGCCACCAGCCATGGCTGCACCACCGACAACATCAACCCGCTGTCAGAACCCGAGGGCTTAGTTGGCCGTCAGGCTTATCCTATCAAGGTTAGTGAAAAAGTATCATCTAAATACAATATATATAGATAGATCCATAACAGTACTAAGCCCTCAGGCTTATCCTATCAAGGTTAGTGAAAAAGTATCATCTAAATACAATATATATAGATAGATCCATAACAGTGTAATCTTTCATAAGTTCGCAGTTACAGTGCAATCATGTAGTAATTACAATGCAATCTTTCATAAGTTTGCAGTTTACTGGACCCTAGGCATCCCCTAACCTTCTCCTAAGCTCCGATTTTGCTCCTTGACTTGCCTCGTGCCCTTATGCTTTCGTTTTTGTGCTCATTTTCACTTGTAAATTGTCTCTTTCCTTGCCCGTTCAGGCCTTTGCCCAATCGTCCTTGCCAAAAAAAAAAAAAAAAAAAAAAAAAACTTCAATTATGAGCGATTTTCATCTCAATCGCTTAAGATCCATGCAAATTAAGATCAAATGAGGTGCACCACTAAGCCAATTTATGGCTTATCATGCATGGATCTTTCATATATTATATAATAAATAATATATGTGGCATTTTACATATTTTTAATTGATTATGATAACATATCATGATAATCCATAATAAAGTTGAATTTACTTAAAGATCATGAAAGGATTTAGGCAAACTAAGTAATAAGTGGCTTAGAATTAACATATAAGACAATATTATATTTAGAATAATGTTTGAGATACATGTAAAAATAATGAAGTTATATATTTCACCTATATAATAAGGGAACAAGATTAAATAATTATATTATTGTGATAGAATTGTGGTAGGAAAAAGAGAAAGAGGAACAATGATATTGGAGAAGGTGATGGGAAGCCTAAAGAAGTTGTTCATGTGAGAGCCAAGAGAGGGCAAGCTACTGACAGTCATAGTTTGGCTGAAAGGGTAAGTTATTTCATTCATTAATTCATTATATTACATATATAAGCTTTGTATATATCTATATGCATGTGTTTATGTATATTTGATTCGAACTCGATCAGATCTGTTATTTATAACATAATTGTAACTTATTACTGATCTCGATCGACTTATAATATACGCACATCATTATGATTCTCCTTTGTTCTTGGTATCTTCCCACCTCTAATGTTTTAGGTATGGTAATTCACTTTTTGAAACTATAGTACATGTTTAAACCTAAGAATTTAATGAAATGTGTACTAAAAAGTGGTAAAAGTTATTTTCAAAAAAAGTGGTAAAAGTTTGTGTAAATTGAGCATTGAGAAGCAAAAATTTTAACCTAGTATGGGAGAATGGGATAAGGTAAAGTAGTATTTCATGGTAGCTTTAAGAATTTTCATTGATTTTTTTTTGGGTGATCTGATGATCTAGCAACGAAGAGAGAAAATTAATGAAAAGCTCAAATGCTTACAAGGTTTGGTCCCAGGATGTTATAAGGTAATTAAAGCCCTTCTTAATTTTGTCCTCTTTTTTTTTTTTTTTTTTTTTTTGTTCAAAATTTTATTTTTTTAGCACTACTGACTCGGTTACATAAATATGTTAAAAATGGTTGCAGACAATGGGAATGGCTGTGATGCTGGATGTAATAATCAACTATATCAGATCATTGCAAAATCAAATTGATGTATGTATGCCTTTTTTTTTTTTTTTTTTTTTTTGTTTTAATGTATTTTCAATTCATTTAAATTCTTTTTTGTTTTTTAGTAGTACTTACTAATTTATTTCTTAATTATTTTATAGTTTCTTTCCATGAAACTCTCAGTAGCAAGCTTATTCTATGATTTCAACTCATCAGATGTGGATGCAGTGGACATGGCACAGGTGCACCTTCTTTCTTTCCCATCCTAAAGCAAAAATAAATAAATAAATAAATAAATAAATAAATAAATAAATTAATTAATTTAAAAACTAAGTAATAGAAGTTAGCTATGTATTTTTCATCTTTAATGCAAAATCATATTCTACCCTTCCAATTTTTTGTGCCTGGTTTTTGTTAACCAAACTTGACTGAAATTATTTACAATTCGATCATTTTTTGGCAATATTTAAATTAGTCTTAATTTATAAAATGTATATGTATATATATATATATATATATATATATATATATATATATATATATATATATAAACTACATTAAAAGTACTATTAAACATAAAAAATCAAACTTAAAAGCATTAAAAAAATGTTATAAAAAAAATAAAGAGTTAGATTGACCAATAAATAGTATATAGAACAGAAAAATGGGACAGAGAATAATAATTTATATTATGTGTTTCAATCTATACACATATTATATTATTAGTTGAGAATACAAGTAACAAATTATTTAAAATTTATAATGAATTCTAAAACCGGAACCAACGAATTGAATTGTATATTTTAGATTCATAAAATCTTGCTTAAAACGATTCTGAAATTTAAATCATGACATATCTCACTTAAAATTTCAATAACCTATGTATTGCCGACGCTATCACAGACTCACACCGGGTCACAACCCTACCTCAAATACATTGTATATATACCAACTATTCCCCTAAATCATGATGGAAGTGTGATTGTGGTTGATGTTTGTTGTAGGGGGCAAATCTTTATGAAGCTCAAGGGATGGGAAAAGCTATGGCTGAAGGGTATGGAGGATTTCCACCTCAGTTTCAAACATCTTGGCCTCTTTAATTATATTGTACTTCTACTATCTACTTCTTGATTTGAGCTCCACTCCCTATATATATATATATATATATATATATATATATATATATTATACACTGCATATTTACATCAACTTGAACAACCTCTTTCTTATGTAATTTGGAGTTTTTCTTTTTTATAAATACACAAATGTATGATAAAATAGATGAAAGATGGAAGACTAAATATATTTAATTATTAATTATTATATATGTTCGGTTTAAACTTTGTGATGCATTGGTTATTATCCTTATTATTAGTTTTGTTTGTAGCTTGTTTGAATGCTTTGCAATATATGAAATAGTGTGTTTGTGTTTGAATTCATTCGAGCATTAAAATAAATAGAGAGGGAAATGAGATAGTATTTTTATAGTGATTTTGAAACTCCCTACCACTCCTCTTCTAAGACATGGAGGTTTAATACAAATACAAGTGATAAGTAGTCTTTCACACTAATTGCAAACCTAGCCTGCTAGATTACTTCCTTCCCATTTTTGACAATCTCTAGAATAACTTTCTACAACAAATTGTATATTCTGCACGGTCTGATCTTCAACTCCAAGGGTCGTCCACCAATTAAGTCACATTATATTAAGAGAAAATCTTCAACCTTTGATGAACAAAGAGATGGTTTTTGTCATAAAGACACTGTAGGACGACAAAATTTAATTACATGAATCTTTGAAGCTCAAATTGCTTAAAATAGCTTTCAACTTTTGCTCATTTCCAAACTTTTAACCTCTCATTATAAGTTTCATGAGGGGTCCTGTTTATAGAGTTGAGGAGTCGAAAATTGAAATCGCGTCGAATCTATTTGTTAGCACCCTCTGTGATGGTAGGACCAAAAATTGCCATATCCTCATTTGTTTGGTTGCATGTCATTAACCTTTGGACTTCACCTAGTACCTTTTAGGTGAAAAGCATTGGTTTGTCCCTAAAAGTAACTTTGCAATCCTTTTGAACATATCTAGAAGTGAGGAGTCATGAGAAATGTGTCCAATAATTCTTTTTCAATTCTTAATAGATATTTCATATATCTCGTATTGACATCTGGCGAATGTTCTTAAAAAGTAGACCATGGCTTTGCTTAGGGGTGGCAATTTAGTTTGATTTTCTCGAACTAGTTCGGTAATATACCGAACAACCGAATGATAATAGATTCTTGTATATTGAACGGTTCGGTAAAAGACCGAATTGAATCGAATACAATTTTTTTTAATATAATAATAATAATAATAATAATAATAATAATAATAATAATAGAAAACTGCTGGAAATTATGAAATTTCTGACCACATGAAAGTGATCTTAAATCAAGTCGAAAGTCTTGTTCCAACCACTTTTGGTATCCGGAAAAACCTTTGTTGCTATTTCCGACCACTTTTTGCTTTCGACTTGATTTAAGATCACTTTCCGGTGGTCGAAAATTCCAAAATTTCCAGCAATGAATAGTGATAAAGAAGTAAATCCAAGTCCATTGATGTCTGCTCTGTCATTTCCCCACACTTTTTTCCTAACGAAATGTTATTTCATACACTTTTTTCCTAACGAAATGTTATTTCATATATTAGAAATTCGTTCGAGATGTTATACCCTAAAACCAAAAGAAAGGGAAAGGCAGCGCAGATAAAGGTATAAGATATGTAGGTATAAAGATTCCAAAGAGTTGGGATTATGGCCAAATGTTGAGGAAGAAAGTGTGGGGAGCAAAGCACAGTGATGAAGAGTATGTTGCTTTTGAGGAACAAAAGAAAAACTATGTACTACACATTAGGAGGGGTGTCATTTTTTATACTCGAATAGTCCATTTTTCTTAAGAATAGAAAACTTTAATTATTATAGTCCATTTTTCTTAAGAATAGAAAACTTTAATTATTATACTTCAACGATTAGAAATGTCAACAACCAGGTAGAGAACATACAAACTCATCATAGATTGTCAGAATCAAGCCTGCAGCTTACCATTACGCTGGCCCTTCAAAGAGTGGTCAGTGATACAATCACAACTGATGAGGAATATTGAAAAAACTATTTTTCTATTAAACAAAAAACCCTAAGATAGATAGATGTACAAAATTACTTTGCCATTGTTCCACCAGAATGACACCAAAAAACTGAAGAGAAAACATTCTATTCCCAATGGACTGAAGGAAAAGACATTATACCATGCATGATGGTGATGATGGCATCCACGAAAGGTTGCAGAAAAGCCAACCCCTACGCTAGCTACTTCACCTCTAACGGCTCTAAGTCAAAAGAAACATTCAAGAGAGGAAAAAAAAAAAAAAAAATAGGTTGAAGAACTAAAGTGAGCAAAAGTTAGTAAGAATAACTCAATTTAGCAAATTAAATATAGTTGTTAGAATCAAACGTAGCAAAGATACATCTTTATTTCTTTATACTGTCACACAAAACAATCATCATCTTAACACCAACCAGTCTTAATGGCTCTTACTGGGATTGTAACCTGACTGGCGGACTCTGATACCACTTTTTAAGATCTAATGTTTACCATTACGTCAAAATCTATAGCTAGTAATGAACGCGCAATTTTATTTTCTTATATGATATCTATCGTCACACATTTTCAAGAGACATACTACTGGAATTCGTCCTTTACCAACTGAATTATCTCTCTGAGCATATAGTGCTGGACTTGGCCCTTACTGGCCTCTATCCAACAATAGTAATGCAAGTTTGTGCTACGAGGAAGCTAAGGGTACTCTCTGTCCTCGATAGAACATTCAAAATTTCCTATTTCTATTCAAATTTTTTTGAAAAGGAAAATATTACATATATTTCTAAATTTACTCCCAACTTTTACTTCTTACTCTCAAAATTTTGATATAAATAACTTGTCGTGAACTCACACAATGAAAATGTCCCATCCATGTTTACCACATTAAATAGTATAACTAATTGAATAAAATTCGGGAGTTTGCATAGTAAAACTCTTTTGAAAATAATCTTTTTTCATGTTCTTTTTGAAGTAGGCAGTAGGGATGGCAAATTGCCCCGTCCCCATTTGAAAAAAAAAAATCAGGAAATGTATGTAATTTCTCGTCGGGAATGGGGATGGGGACGAGAGTACCCCTTCCCGCCCTAGTAACCTGCTATTACCGACATTGACTGGTTTTGGAGCTTCATTACACGAAAATAGCATGTTAATGGACTTAATTATACATTTTAAAAGTTCAAGTGTTTAATTGACTTTTCGTATAAAATTTAAGGGCATATTTGAGTTTTTTTTTCCAATATAATTAATTCGTTCGAAATCATTTTGCTATTTCCTGAAATAGGGGCAAAATAGTAATTTAAAAAGTTAATGGACTTTTGCTTACTAATCAGTCTGGATCAACTTTGAAATTTCGGGAACAGGCCCTCATTACAAAAGGTAGAAAATATTTGGGCTAAAAAATCCATTTCTATTTGGTGAGGCCCAAAATTGTAGCATTGAATAGAGCTTTGGCCCATTAATAAGGAGGTAGTCATGAATAGAGCTTTGGCCCAATAATAATTAATCCAGTCGTTATATTATAGACCGTGGTGCATGTGCACCGCGGTCAAAAACGACGCCGTTTCTTTAAGTAAAGAAACGGCCCGCCGTTAGAGTTAACGGAGTCCGTTTGTTTGGTATATTAAACACCAACTGACACTACAGTATATCCAAACCGACACTGCAGTTATATCAAAATGATACTGTAGTTATAGTGAAATGAAACTGCAGTGTATATAAACTGAAACTGAATACATTTCACATATTTGAGTGTATATTGTACAATGAAGCTGTAATTATATCAAAATGATCATGTAGTTGTGTTTTAATGAAACTATAGTGTATATAAAATAAAATAAAATAACATTTTCACATATTTGAGTCTATAAATATCGAATGAAACTATAGTTATATCGAAATGAAACTGTAGTTGTGTTCAACTGAAACTGCAGTGTATACAAAATGACACTGAATAACAGAGTTACTTTTTGCAAAAGGGTGCGAAACGGCGGAAATAAACACTGTTAATTTTCATTTAAAAAAAAAAAAAGACGCGCGGTACATAATCGACCGCGGTGCATAATATAATTTGCCTAAATAATCGTTGATATAAGCGTGAAATAACGTCAAGCTTTTATTATCTCAAATACTACTTGTTAGAATTTTTTTCTAATGATGATTATTTTATAAATTGTTATTTCTTTGAAAAATTTAAAATGGTTATTAGAAACTTAACTTTTAAGTATAATAATTTTCACTGAATTGCTCATTATCTCCTCCATCTGATTTTATGTATTTAGTTCAATTAACAAGACTTGACTCACGTTATTTACAATTTGATTTTGAGTAATATTTTGTTTAGCATTAATATTTAAAATTTATATATTTAAAAATTACATTAAAATACTATTAAACAAAAAATTTAAATTAAAATTTATAAAAAAAAATAAACAAATAAGGAAGAATTTGTTTGACTAATGAATATATAGTTGATGAGGTTATGGAGCCTGGGACCCATTTTATTTGCGAAGTTTTAGCCTAAGAAGAATGAATATAATTAAGGTTCTTATTGAGCTAAGGTCCAAAATATCTTAAGGAGGTGTAGCCAGGGGTCAAATTTGTGACCTCTTATTTAATAAGATACCGACTAATTACGTACTAAGCAATCAGTGTGGGTAATTTTTAATTTGAGAAGAATTTAATTTTAAAAATACAAATTTTTATGGGTATATTTGAAAGGGTAAAAAGTTGAATATGAAATCGTTTAATTATAGTTACTTTGGTATAATAGTATACCCCAAATTTTTAACCACGCAAATTTACAATGAGTGGAAGTATAAATTGTTGTTGAAAATTTACCCTGCAAAATAACACATCTATAATTACCATCCACCATCCTTAATAATATTGATCATGCATGCTATTCCGTTTTCAACGTGCTTTGACTCACTTTATTATTATTATTATTATTATTATTATTATTATTATTATTATTATTATTATTATTATTACCATTTTTTAAAATGACATGGAAACTAACCGTCACTGTTCAAGGGTGTGTACTAGATAA